CAACTCTTACCCCCTGTTTCATTGTTGTACATTTGTTGTACATCATTCCTCGCAATTGAATGATTGTAATAAATTATAAACAGCTTTTACTGTCTTGCAAATGAAAATTTTAGTAGGTAAGCAGGCAGATTCTTATTGCCATCCAATAATGTTAATCGAACAAAAAATAATAATTACATTCGTTTCTGCTTTAATCTGTATAATTTTAAATATGTTTTTTGTCTTCCTCTATATATCACTGTATATATATATATATATCACTATTTACACAAATGCACATGAAAATTGCAAACTCGGCTTCACGCGGACGCGTAAAATAATCTACAAAATAATTTATTTTATACATATTGATAGGATATAGTATTTGCATGCAATATTGATAGATCAATCGTTGATTACAAGCTGACGTACATTCTACAAATCGAGAAGTCCGATTTTTCTCCCTTTTCTATGAAATATAAAATTTTATAAGCCCTTTTTTACAAAAATGAAATATTTTCACTTGCTGATTCTTGATTGGAACAAATAATTAATTCTTATATTTTATATTTTAATTATCACTTCATAATCACTTTAGATTGCAAGTCGTTTCAGTTGAAAAATATTATTAAATGTTTTATATTCACGAAAGATGTTCTCGGTTATATTTAATATAAAACTTGTATATGAAGGAATCTTCTGCCTTTTTTTCTTCTTTTTAACTGAAACCAAATTGAAGTAGCAAATACTTCCTCATATTATGTTAAATAAAAAAACGTAATGCTGATTAAGTGATTTAACAGTTCGATACGAACGGAGTATAATTATCGATCTTATGCTAATATTTACAAGTATGTCACATCGGTTATGTAGCTTCAGAATACAAAACTATGATACGTAAAGTAATGAACGCAAAAATAGTATATTCTTACCTATCTCTATTTTTTTTTTTAAATCACAAACGCGTCAGAAGACTATCGAAAAAAGGGTGCGATATCCAAACTGTATTTCCGTTGTATTTTGATTTGCATAACAGATTACGTTCGGTGATTGCTGGATTAACACACTAATTGTCCCTGCGATATTTCGGTAACAAGTGTAAATAGATTGATTCACAATACAACTTTACCGTGCATACCGGACAATTCTGTATATTCTCTGTAAACCATAGATGTTCTTTTGGTTTCATTTTTAATAAAAATTTATATATTGATGATTAGATTTGTACAATTTCATATGGACATCGTGCTACAACGCAACTATGTCCATATATCTACTGTAACGTCATTAAAATCAGATTGTGTTAGCATAGAGTCAGCTAATATGGTACCCTCATCTGATCCTCAGATGAAAAACAGTCAAATTATTAGATATCACACTCGAGGTGATTATGTGCGCGAGCTATATTTTTAAACTGAATATTGATTTTATGATATAATATATATAATAATGTAATCATTTTATGATTATATAATTATAATTTTATATATAAAATCAGTGGAAAATGCAAAATATATGCGCGTAGCACGGAAGCAATTCACTTATTTTATGTAACAAAAGATGCAAAAGATACAACTGAGGATGCGGCACAATTGATGATATCAATCTCGAGAGTAGTTTAAGTGTAGCCGTTTAGCGTTGTAGAGTATTCTAGAGCGCGCGATAGTATAGAGTATCAAGATTTTTGAAAACATTGATTTATTTATGCATGTATTGACAAAGTTATAACGCTAATAAGACCATCAATTAAACCGCATCCAGAGCTAATATTCTGTACAAAATATTGGCTCAGAGCTGTATACAATATTAAAAAATATACATATTTGTAATTCCAATAATGTCATCGTTAACTAACTTTTTTTCATTTGCACGATGATAAAACCGAATTCAAATATTTAAAGTAAGATAGAACAGTTTTACTAATAAAAAAAAAATGTAAAAAGTACAACTGTGCTTCGGAATTGTAGAATCCAGTTATAATTCTTCATAATTATACATATGAAAAATTGCAAAATAATTTTAAATAATTTAGTAATTAGTATCGAAAATTGAAGAAAATCGTACCGATATACAATTCTCATTAATATGTACTTAAAAAGAAGCAAATACATACTGTTTGCTCGTTCGCATTTTTCAACATTCCTCGATGAATTCCAATATACGTTTTGATATATAAAAATTTCTTTTCTTATTATGCACTGAAGATATAATTCGATCTCCCTCGTTTTTCTTTTCTTTGCACAATCTATGTATCTGTTTCTAACAGGGAGTACCATACACATCCTAGACACATCTTCGACATCATTATTATTCGCATATAATAAACATCAGAATAATTTTTTATACATATAAATACAGGTATGGTGCATGCTCACAGAAACATCGTACACCGTGCGCTCAGTATTTCTCCCACGTAGAGACGTGAGAAAGCAAATGTCATCAAAAACGCTTCCACTCGCAGCAAAATTATACACAAAACGGTTTGGATACCGTGTCACAACCGAGGAAGAAAGAAGCACTAGGAATTGGCGTTTGGCGGCGGTGGTCTTCTATCGTAATCTCGTCTGTAATCTTTGTTGGGTCGCCAATCATTGGAGTAACTATCTCCCGCGTAGCCTCGGCTTCTGAAATGACCCGGTGCAATATCCGACGGATAACCACCACTACCACTGCTACCACCATAACCACCTGGTCCATATCCGTAACTTGGTGGTCCCGACGAATATCGATAATAATCACTAAAATTATCACATATAAAAAATCGTACATATTGAAACAAAGTTCGCAAAATAAATCAAATTTCTCGACAAAACTGTTATTACTCACCTTCTTTTGTCGTTCATATGCATACCACGATCTCGATCTCTATCTCTATCTCTGTGATAACCACTAGACATTCGTCCGTAAGGATCGAAGCGATCACGCTTGTGCTCTCCGAATCTGAGACAAAAAATTGAGAAAACAATTAAGAAGCAACCGGTAACAAAAAAAACACAAGGATCTCTATTAATATTTAATGATTAAAATATTTTTACAGAAATTAAATTCAAATCAAACTAAATCTAGAGATACTGAAAAATATTTTTGACATATATAAATGTAAAAAGTACGAGCTTACCCGTACCTGCCGTCTCTAATATCTCTTCCATCTCTGGATAACCAATGGTCATCTTCCCTACTGCCACTGTAATGTCCCATGTTGTATCCACCATCTCTCCTAATTCTGTCGTCCTTGCCTACATTTATCCTATCAATACCTCTGTCGATATTTCTGTCAGCACCTCTATCAGCACCCCTGTCATGCCCCCTTTCTCTATCTCTATCACGATCTCTATCCCTTTTCATATCTTTGTGCTTCGATTCTTTTTGTTCTTTATGACGTGATGTGTCTGCACTATTAGTGGTACTTGATGTGGAATTTGGCGTTGACGTTATAGGTGTAATTGTAACAGCACCGATAGTAACTGTAGATGTGCTGCTGATATTGCTGCTAACACCGGAAATACTCGAGAGATGTTTCTTACTTTGTGTACTACTGTTCGAGTTCTCCTCGATATCGTCGACTTTACGTTTCGTTGCTCGGCTGTCTTTATTACCGCTCTCCGTTTGTTGCTTGTCAAAATGTTTTTCGTGAGACACTTTTTCACTAGATTTCTGCTAAACAAAATGGAAAATAAAAGTTTCATCCGTTTCTATACTTTCTGTGCAATAAACAAAAAAAATAATAAAATTAAATGCATGCACTACCTTAGCAGTATTGGAAGCATCCTCCTTTTTGTCAGGGCTGGATATCGCACCGCTATTATTGTCGCCACCTTGTTTCACTAGATTCTTGTACATTCTATAAAGCTTTTTTGCCTTGAAGTTCGTAAACTTGGAAGCAAAGTACCATAGATTGCTTTTCCATTCGCTGATTTGCTCGGGGTTCTTGTATTCTGCCAGACATGTGTTGATATGGTTACCGATTTGGTAGAGACACCGACGCGCGCGAGCAACTCGCTCTTCTTCGCTCAGAGACATATCTGGTGTATCTAGAGCCTTTAACGCCTTCTTTACTGGTCTCATCTTCTCTTTACACTGTGTACAATAAAATAATATATTATACTAATAGTTTTTTCTTCATTTCTTGCTTTTTATGTACATTTTATTTAGAGATTGCAAAAAAAATATATATATAAATCTATAAAAAAAAAATGATATTAACTTCATCAAATATTGGTGGATCTAATTCACCAATGACGTCGACAGCTCTTGGTTCATTATTCGCAGTAAAATGCATAGGACCTGCAGTTTGCTTATTCTTTTTCACTTTTTTGTT